TAATGCACCAGATTCATTCTTATTTCTTTCATTAGATTGCATTCTCACCTGAACCAAAATATATATATGTGTGTGTGTGTATATATATATATATATATATATATATAAAATCTCACAACAACTATTTTAAAGCTGCTAATTTTAGCAAAAAAAATTAACGATCAGCCAACACATCCGGTTGGCCGGTCAAACCAACTTAATTATACAGTCATTCAGAACAGCTGATTCAAACGGTCAACAGCCTGCATTCAAACAGCGCCATTATTGTTCTCTATGTTTAAAACTTATTTATAAAATTCTTATGGTTTCAGAAATGGCACACACTACCCTGCCCGTTTTCTAATCATTTTGTGGTGAAGATAGAGCAATAGTGCCAATTTCTTATACTACAATGGGAGAGCTCAATTCCCACAGTTTCCCTTTTTTCCTTGTTGTTTTTTTTTCTTTTTATGATTTATCTCTATTTTTTCTAAATTTTTTTCCTTTTTTAAAAGGTTTTCTAATTTATTTTCTAAATTCTTTAAAACATAGTTTTAAGATATCAATTTTTTTTGTTTGAAATTAAAAATATAAAAAGAGAATACTTCATCTATCTCTAATTATACATTTTCATTTTTTTCCATAACAAAAAGAAAAGGTTGAAGTTCATAAAATAAAATTATGAATCGGAAAAAATGAAATAGAATAGAATAACGAATGGAAAAGGAAATGAAAAAATTTAAAAGATATGGAGTACCAAAATACTCTTCTGAAGGAAACCGTATCTATTGAGTTTGCTAATAAAGTTCTTTTTCTATACGTAAAAAAAATTATAAAAAAAGTTTATTTCTTTAAATTTTAAAAATAAAAAGAAGAATTCTTACAATTTTTAAATCTTTTAGGCACTGGTCAAAAAAAATTCTTATCCCAACAGATTAAAAAATTGGCATTTTTTACGTCTTGAAAAAAGAATCTTATTATTAGTGCAGTTCATGAACACATTTCCCTTTTGTATAAGAGTATTTTTGCATGTTTTTTCTTTTATTTCATTTCTTTTTTCTATTGTTCTTTTTACTTTTATATTTTTTAATGTTTCTCTTCCTCATTTTTTGAGGTTCCCGAAAAAGGTTTTATTATTTATTTTTTAGAAAAATTTACCTAGTATTATCAAGTAGTCATTATTCAAATAAATGTCTAGTATTATTGGACATAATTCCTCCCACTAGGTCATTATTAAGTCTTATTTAGGGAATAAAAAAGTTTTATGTCCTAGATTAAGAAAGTCATTATGTTTTAGTCCTATTTAGTGGAAATTTCACTATTTTTTACTATATATTTCAAACACAAATAATTTTGAAATTTTAAAACATTATAAAAAAACAATTTCAAAAAATAAATCATCAAAAATATCTATAGATAAAGAAACATTGAGAGAGAGAGAAGGAAAAAAATTAATAAGCACTAATGGACCTCTTTAATCGAAAAATATACATAAAATTATCTCAAGTTGTGATTTACGAATTCACAACACATCTAAAATAATAAAATCAAACTGAGCCCTTATTTGTTTTTCTTTTCTAAATTGGGACAATGGTGCGTAAATAAAACGTTGTTGCAAAACAAAAAACAAAAAAAGTTCAAAAGAGTAACGATCAGTAAGTAGTGTATGTTTGTGTTGTGCGAGGGAAACACGTGAAGTAGACAAACGTTTCGAGGATGAAAAAACAAAAAAAAAGAAAAAAAGAAAAAGAAAAAAGTAACGGGCGGGGGGAGAGAGCGTGGGGCCCACTCCAATTCAATGCCAAATTTTAGACCATCCGTTTTTTTTTTATTTTTTGTTTTTTTTAAAAAATTTGAGAGAGAGAGAGAGGGGACAGATGAAATCCGAAAACGGTGGGTCCCGCTCCAATTCAAAGAAGGACCAAATCTTCTCGGTAACTGTAGACCCCGGTGTGGGACCCGCCCGTCACGCATTTTTCATCAGAAAAATAAAAAAAAAAAGAAATCGTCGTATTCTACGGCTCTCCCTTCGCGAACCGGACTTTTTCATAGGTCGACCGCGGCCCGTCCGGGGGACTCGCTCGTGGGCCGCTTTTCGGATTTCCTTTCACGCAAACCGCGGGCGGTTGCCCACCAGTATTTACTTCTCCACTCATTATTTAACTCACTACTTTTCCTCAAAAAATTAAAAAAAAAACTCACTACTATTTCTCTTTTAAAAAATTTATTTCTGTTTTTAGTTTACAGATTAAAATTATTTTTTATCAGATGTTCTAAAAGTGACAAGTGATAAAAAAATAGCTTGAATCCGATATGATAAACCAAAAAATAGGAATAAAATTGTATTATATAAGAAACATGAAAAAAATGCATCTAATCTGATATTATATTTTGTACCAAAAAAATATTAAAGTTATTTTTTATTGAATTTAATTAATAAAATATTGGTATATTTAAAATAAATTATCCAAATTTTTGGATCGAATCACTGGATTCTCCGAAAAGTTAACGTTTTAGCAAAAATTTTCCAAAAAAAAGAATAAAATAGCAAAATCAACCCATAATATCAAATTCAATATAGATTTACTAAAAGAAAAATTACACCACTAGGTAATGGCCTAATAAAAAAATAATACCAAATTTAATTTAGGAGTAACTTTGGCAATTTGGCCTCAACAAACCAAAAAAAAGCACTACTAAAACAAGAAGTTCCAAAATGCTAATGCAAGAAGTCCAAAATGCTTGAGTTCCAAAATCAACATAAAATTACATTAAACATATAGTCATAATATATATCCATAAAATTCCATTAAACATATAGCCAAAAAACCGGATATCCAATTATCCGAAAATTTCCAGAATTTGAATCCATATCCGATCCGATCTTTCTCTGGTATCCGATCTGAAATATCTGGAAGCTAAAACATCGGATCGGATATCAATTTATCTGATTGGATCTGCCTGGATCGTGGACGGATATTTCGGATTGAATATTTTTGAACACCCCTAGTCTTAAGACAAAAGGAGAAATTTTTGTTTTTATATTTTAGACACAATGCATAAATGAGTCCTGTTCTTTCGATGTTATTACTCATGTTATATTTAGGTGATTAAATTTCCAAAATAGTACTAGATAACTATGTGTTTTCCTAAAATAGTCTTCAAGATAAATTTATTACCGAGATGGTACTCATTAACTGATAACAATGTCAAGTTTAGTCTCCCCCGATTAACAACCGTCAAAAGGATTTTAGAACTTATATTTTCTCAAAATTAGTCCCTAAGATAAACTCTAATTGAAAATAGTTTTCTTGCTAAAATAAATACATAGTATCACATTGCATGTCATACAAAGTACGAGTCTGCTCTCTTCACCTGATCTAATTGATTTTGATCTTTGCCTCCCGCACTCCCACCCTTTAGTATTTTTTTTTTTTAAATTTTTCCAGATTATGTATTTATTTTAGCATATCGTTCTAGCATTTAATTATTGTACTTTATTAGCTTTAATTTTTATTTTAGTGGATGGCATGAATCATACATTCATACCCCCATAGCCTAACGTCATTACTTTTTGTTAGGTTTTCAAATGTAGTGATTTGTCTTGATTACCTTGGACCAAAAATCTTAAAAATGTACTCTCCCTATAAAATGAAAACCAGCCAAAAATCTTGTAGTACTTAATTATATTATGAATTTAATATCATTAAATTTGTTTTATAATGTAATTTTAATGTATCATACTTTTATAATAATATTTATTGGCATGAAAATCTACTTTTTATGTTCAACATTTCATTATAAATATCATGAAAATTAAAGTCTAATAGAGAGCTTAATTTGAAACAAACTGATTGAATTTTTTCTCTCAAAAAATCCAAAACAATTGTAGCCATAAAATGAGGTAAGGCAACATGTATGAACATTAATTAAACTAATTCCTAAATTTTTTTTCGGATCAAAATTTATATTCATAGTAACATAAAAAAAACAAAGTCTTAACTAGGTAGTAGTAGCCTATGTTCCATCCTTTTTTAGGACTACTAACTCTATTACAATTGAAGATATGACGTTAGATAAGAGTCTTTGAAGAACTAGTATTACAGTAGTTGGGTTGGCACTTCGGGCTAGGGGTAGTCTCATGTACTGTGTGCTTTCTTTGCCTTGTATGCTTAGTGCTTTTTATTGCATTATTTTTCTTTTGTTAGTTCTAGTTTGTTTCTTGCATGTAGATGTTATGTGCTTTGTCTTTGATTTCTCTGTTTTATGTATCCCATGTGATTGTTTTATATATGCAGTTTGAGCCGGGGTCTCTTGGAAAACAACATATACTTTCGAGTTGCAGCAAGGTCTGCATGCATACATCTTCCCCAGACTCTATTCTTGTGTGATCCAAATGGGTTATTGTTGTTGTTATTAGTATTCGTTCGTACAAACTCTATCAATCTATTGAAGATCAAAGCGTCAACATCCTCATTCAATTCGAACTTGTGATCTTCCATTTGAAATAACCACAATAATATATCGTTGAACCACAAAATCATTCACACCCTACGTTCCATCTTACGACTAGTTCGCAGAGTATAGACATTGGAAGATTATTGGACAATCCCTTCAAAGATGGACGGTACTTTTTAAGCCAATACTGGGGCTTAGCGCCCTTGAATGGAGGACAACATTTAGGTAAAAAAAAGAATAAAGTCCATTTTTCTAAGAAATAGACTAAAATTTATCAAATAAATAGAGTTTGGAACATTAAATCTAGAGTAAAATGTGGATGAATGAAGTCCTAAAAAAACATCTCGTTCTATAACACTTCATTCGTCTCACAATTTTTTGGGACACAAGAGAACGGCGTAAAATTATGTATTCCGTAGTTAATTTTTTTCAAGGAAGATTGTGTAATTAATATTAATGTAAAAAATTAAAAATTAGTAAGGACGAACTTTAACCACACAAAAAAATACAAAAATGATATGGAATTAAAACACTGCAGGAGAAAAAAGAAAAGGAAAAAAAGACTGAAATTGTAAGCAGCGCCTATTGTTGCCACACTTTCATGTTCACTGTTGGTTGTATTACATCTAAACTGCTAACACTTCATTCATTCATTTGCCATCAAATTTGAACACAAAAACACTGCCCAGTAAAAACAAAAAAAAAGGCTAAAGGAAAAAAAAATACAGAAATACACAGATGACGACGGACCTTCTTCTGGAATCTTCATTAGTCGACCAGATTTATTTTAACCCGAAAGCGAAAGACAACTTTGGGCGAGATTTGTTCTTGCCCAACAGCTTCATTTGTTTGGCACGTTCTTCCTCTTCTTCCTGTTTCTTCCTTCGCATAGCCTCCTCTTTCTGTCTTTGAAGCTCCTCCAGTTCCCTATATCGTTCCTCCTCGATCCTCTGCTGCTCCAAAGCTTCCCTTCTCTGAGCTTCTTCGATCTTCATCCTCTTCTCTTCAAGCATCTTATCCATTTCCTCGGCCTCCTTCCTGGCTTGCTCCTGAACAAATGGATATTAAACTGTAAGTCCTCTCGCCATTACAAATTCTTTCTTCCCCAAGAAAGGAATTCGCAAATATGGAACCTCCGCTTGGATGGATTCCTGGACACACAGACTGTCTAGTCTGATCGACAAGCCTGTGGGGCCCACCCTGAACTAGGGCTCTGGCTCCCAGGTGGGTATTGAAGTCCTCGACCCGTACAAGTGTATTTGAACCCTGGGCATTCAAGTGTTTTTTGGTAGATGGTTTTAACCATTGGAGTACTTAACCTATATTGTGATAAACAAAAGTATATTTGAAGTTCTTTAAGGCTGAAACAATGTGATTTTATAGCTTTTTGATCACCATGTATTCATTTCGAGAGAAAAATAATATTTTCCAAGATATAGATCAAGTACTCCAAAGTCCTCCCTTCCAAAATCTTTCATCCAAACAAACCCTAAGGCAAAAAAGAGACTCCGTGGGTTGCAACATTTTGGGCAGGGTTATGCTCCAATCATGAATAACACCAAGGAGGATACAGCCGGTGTCTCACAAACAATGACTCTCCATGCGAGATTGTCCATGTCTGGTGGTGTCATCCTTGATGTTAAAGTAGCATTACACTTTTGGGTATCTTTGCAAACTCCTTTTCACACTGACAAAGGAACTTGCCTCCTTTTGTTTGGCCATGATAAGTGCAGCTTCCCGCTCCTTTTGAAGCTGAGCTGCAACCTCAATGACAAGCTTCTTCCGACCTTCTGAAAGTCGCTTATCAATTTCAAGCTTCATGTAGGCAGAGTTCAACTTCTCTTCAACTTTTTTCTGAATTGCCTCTTCAACCCTCTTTGTAGTTTCTTCTTCTACTAATTTCAGTTCTGCTTCATGCTGGCGCCTGTTAAAAAAAGATGGCAATATCAGACAAAGGAATGGCCAGTGATGCAGAAAACACCTAATATTTCCATTTCATCATATTCTCGAAAATTCTAATGTTTCTTAAAACAACATAGCAGTAACAATACTTAAGGAGCTTTGACTTGAGTTTTCAAAAAATAACCACACCTTTTCCTTGATATGTATATAACTAAAGTGGATGACAAACTAACCTCCATATGACATAGGCACTAAATAGATATGCTTATGCTTTATAGCATACCTCTTAACTGAATTCTGTAGAAACAGATGAGTATCAAACTTGGTGAACAGTAGATAAACTGTAAACGAAGCATCCAAATTGATCATCAAACATAACAAGTTGAATATAGCAGTAACTTCCTTCAATTAAGCCTGTGGAGAAGAATTCAAAGTAACCTGTTGCAGTTTTGAAGGTAATCACATACTTCAAGCCTTGTGTTAAGATACAATTGTGAAAAACAAATTCTTGTTGTTAAAATATGACCAATGTTTTCATTATATTGACTTAGGCATTGATCATTCAATAAACAAGACTGAGTTTCCTTGGAAGTGAGCATTATAACAGGAATATCTGTAGACTTTTTTAGAGGACCCAAAGTACATGTTGAAATGAATTGATAATGGCCAGGCCAAAATGACGACTTGAGCATCAAGTCATCAACAACTAAAAATTACAAGCCTGACTTCCCACAGATGCATAAAGCAGAACAGAAAAGACGACTAACTGTCGTTGAAATAAAATTTTGACAAGTGTCAGACTGATTCTAGAAATTTGATTTCTATTTTTATTTGTTTATGGAGTATTTTATATCCACATGTATAATAGGGTTCTTGCCATAGACAGTATTCTAGACTGCACTTCTACATTAGGTAAATAATTTTATAAATGCCCCTTAGCCCAAGCATCAAACTAGGGAGAGGGAAACAGATTAAGGTACAAAAAAATTAAATAAGATTAATAGCAGTTGTAGGTTAAAGAAAATCAGAAAAAAATATGAAACAAAAATGGCACTCAAAGATAATGACTTTACTACTAATCAGCCAAAATTGCAAAGGGACCATCTTTATTGTAAGTTAAGCTAAACTGGTCCCAAACATACACAAAGATAAATGAGCCTTAAAAGGAATAGCATGGGCATTCGCATATTCAGCCTATATGTCTATAGCAGCTCACTCAATAGTTGACCAGCAAAAAGTTATAAATTGATGAAGTATATGCACAACTGAATCCAAACAGGGAAATCCTTAAACATCCAATCCATCACCCTAGTTTAGGAATAAAAGCACGTAATTGCTTAAAGAAAAATGTAAGAAAAAAAGGAAGAGAAGGATATAAAACTATACATATACCTTTTCTTTTCCTGTTCCAGTTTTCTTAGCATTTCACTATCATCCTTCTGCTCTTTTAATCCAGTACTTGATCTGGGAGGTTTCCCAATAGGTGACAACGATATGCTCTTACTTCTTTGTCTTCTATGGCGCTTTGATGTTGGGGAGCGACTTTTATGACGTCTTGGTGACAATGAGCGGCTTCGTTTTCTGTATAACATAGACAGCTTGAGCAACAATAACAATGTGAATAAGAGTACAAGTTTCATTCACCACATATGTCTCATCTCAATCAGCAGGACCAGCAAAACTGAAAAACAAAGGCAAAAATATTTACCTTTTGGATTGACAAGAATTAACAATGAGCTGCACCTTTTAATCATATGGGACTGAATATGTCAACCAATCGGCACTCATCATCTGATTGCTTCCCAATGAAATGAAGTGTACTGTTGTTTTAATTTCTAAGAGGAAGAAAACCATGTTGCCCATTTACATTTATAAAGACTCTCTCTACCCTACGCTCAACAATCATCTCACCTTGTAGAAAAGATAGATGATAAATCCTAAAGACTTGTCTCACCAAAAATTTCTGTAAAACAAACCCCGTCTCAACCTTCAAACTCCCAAAGACGTGTTATGTTGTCTCTCTGTCCCAAAAAAAAATTTGCACTTTATGCTTTGCTTTTTGGACCATCCTAACATCATTAAATTGACCCTTCTACCATTTTCTTTTAAGGAAAATGATATGTGGTTTATAACATTTCTCGCTTCTAACCAAATTCCAACCAAACACTTTCCAGTTTTCAACACTTTTCTTAAACTTGGTGAAGTCAATTTATGAATTTGTTTACTGACATGGGAAGTAGATAATAACATGAGCCTTTAACATAAGTTTTCATCACTATGAGCGCAAGCCTAAAGTCCTGGCTGTGATGGGCTGATTTAATTTGCCTCATCAAAACAGAAAGTCCTTCAACAAAAAGAATATCATATATAACAACACTGTTGATAACCATAAATGTATGAGTGGCTTGAACTGTTACTGGATCAAAACAAAAACAAGAGTGAGTTTCATTAGCCTAGCAAGAGTGATCTGCTCCAGAAGTGCTGCTCAGGATGAATTCACATAATCAAATGATACTATATCGACCGTACAGAGCTACGATGTGAGCAATCGGGTATCACCTGCTACGCGAATACGGAGATCGAATTCTGTCCCGACGGTTTCGGTGGCTAGATCTGTGCACCACCGGAGAAGGAGACCGGGAATACCTCCTATACGCCGGTGACCTCGACATATCCCAATCCCTAGCCATATCTACTCCCTACAGCCCAACCGAATCCGAAAATAACTGGATGTAAACAGGAAACATCAAAGGATTAAATTTTCCGCCTGCAATTGCCATAACAAAATTCCAAAACAATTAAAAACGTAATCTACCGGAATAAGCAATCGTGAATCGAGAACCTGTATTGAAATTGGGCTGTCACGACGACGATGCAATTGATCTGTGTATGTGTATGGCGCAGAAAGAAACCCTAGTAGTTAAAATCAACTATGACGTACGACTGCCTCGCTCCTAACGTAGAGTTTGTGCAGCTTATTCGATCTCTCTCTCATTAAAGTTACTCCCTCGGAAATTTCTAAAATTATTTTATTTTTAAATTTATACATAAATGAAAAATAAAAATTACATATTAAAACATATTCAAAGTTATACAAAACAAAAGATAATAATAGTATTTTATTTTATTAAATAATCAATAAAAACATACAAATAAATCATAATTCGAGAGGTGCGGCTTGTGTCACGATTGGGCCGGGCTCATGGATTGGGGGTAAAGTTTGGTAGGTTGGTCGTTGTAGCAATGGTAGTCATACGAAATTGAATTGAAATTTTATGAAATTGAAATGGATCAGACTAAATTTTAGTTCAATTTCAAATCCTTTAATTTATTTGATATAATTAATGAATTGATATAAAATTATGTTATAATCCGAGTTCTTTATTTGATAATACAAAATAGTATATAGAATTAATGTGAAAATTTAAAATTAAAATTCAATTAAAAATCTATATATTTCAGTGTAACCAAATAACAAATTAAACTTGAAGACTCCAATTTTAATTTCACAATTCTGCGTACAAACAAAGCATTTAGATAAGTGGTGACCATAATTTTACAGATCCCAATGAGTTTGTATCGAAAGGATGAGTCGTATTGGGAAGGGAATACTCTTGGAGTCCGTTTGGTATATGGAATTGATAGAATTGAAATTGAAATTTCATGAAATTCAAATCTATAAAATTGAATTCACCAATTCCATACATTTTTTGGACTATCAATTCTAAATCTACATAATTTTTCTGCTATCAAACACTAGAATTGGAATTGAAGTCCTCAATTCCAATTCCATAGTTTGAATTCCATGTACCAAACAGAGCCTTTAAGATGATCCCATTTTTAAAATATATTTTAGAAATAATTATAATAAATAGAAATATATTTGAAAGAATATTTGATAGAATTATAGAGAGAAAATAGTGAGAGATGTGTGAGAGATATGTTTGCTTTGATTGAACTTAAAAAGAAGTTTGAATTTTTTTTATGATTAACGGCTAAAAGAGCAGTTGGGAGAGGGGGAGAGCCACGTCAAATTTTAACGGGTGGGAGCTGACGCTAAAGGGCGGTGTTTAACAACCAAAGGGCGTCAAATGGCGGTTGACCATTTCCATTGCTCTTAGTGATGTTTGTAGATCTCGTGGCTCTTGGTACCGTAGTCCGCGTGATTAAAAGAACAATTCTTGATCAATTAATGTACTTTCTCCCTCTAAAATAAAATAAAAAAAGCCTCACCAAGTAGTTTAGATTTACTTTTATAAGTTCAATCTCATAAATGAACCGAGTTCTACTATTCCCCGTATGCTCCGTAATTTTCTGTGCTCGATAAAACGAGAAGGCCCAACCAGCAGCGTTCACGCGATTCCGATTTCCCGAAATTCTGTTTCCTCAGCAGCAAAATTCACTCCTAAGAAACGAGGAACTCTTCGATCTCACAGAGACCTGCAGATTATTTTGCAGAAACACTCACACTCACACATATATATATACTGTTGTGTGAAAGTATTCGGGCTGAATTCCGGGGAGGAAATGATGGTGGAAGAGTCGAGCTTGGATCGATATCGATGGGCGATGTGGGCGCTGCCATTGATGGCGATGTCCGTATTGTTCGAGAAAGGCGAAGCCATATGGCTGAGCCTTCCCGGGAGCGGAACCAAATGTGTATCGGAGGAAATCCACAACAACGTCGTCGTTTTGGCGGACTACGTCGTCATCTCCGACGATCATGTTCATCCCACTCCCACCATCTCCGTCAAGGTCGGTCTGTGTTTGGAAAAAAAAAAAATTCCTTTCAGAAAATATCCCAGTGTAGTGTGTATGCATCTGAGCATCTCTTCACTTCGTAGTATGACCTAGATTTATTCATCTGTTGCTAGCTTGGTGTGATTTCGAGAAGAAGTTTGGCTGTGATGTGATTCTTTTTGTGTCTTCCTGGTTCTACTTGTCAGATTGTACCCACTTTGTGGCTAAAGAGTTTTGTGGTTACTTTCAAGTAGTGTGAGACTTGTGAGGACTATAATTTGGTTTAGTTCGTTAGTTTCAAGCGTCAGGGATGAGTATGGTTAGGTGGGTGCGTGGTTACATGAGGATGAATAAGATCTAGAACGAGGTTATTCGGAGAAATGGATGAGTGTCAAGATAAGCTGCATGAAGGTAGGATGCAGTGGTCCCATTGAGTAAGTGCAAGAGACTTGCGGTAGTGGGTGCAAGTAGGGTAGAGGTAGACTAGGAAGAGCTGGACGGATGTGATTAGACAGGAATTACGGATTCAGGACCTGACGGGGTATATGGTCTTAGATTAGAGCGCCTGGAGAGTTAAGATCAGAGTAATTTGGGTAGACTTTTGGAATTTCAACCTTAATTTGTAATTTTTGCTGCTGTTTTTTGCTTCGTGGTCCAAGTTTGTAGCTTGTGCATGTGTGCCTTTTGTACTTTGAGTCTAGTGTCGTGTGTACTTTATTTGTGCTTGTGTTGAGCCAGGGGTCTCTTGGAAATAGTCTTTCTATTTCTATGTAGGCGTAAGGTTTGCATTCACACCCTCACAGACCCTATTGTCTTGTAGGATTGTACTAGGTTTGTTGTTGTTGTCACCTTATCTGTATGTTGCTGCCTCAACATTTTGGCTTTCTAAATATTGATGTGATTTGTTTCTTAATGTATTTTTCTTGTTCTACTTTGAAACTATCTTTGTTATTTTTGCATAAAATCTTTGTCTGCTATTGATTGTCAGATTATGTAGTTTGTGAGAAAAGGTTGTGTTGTTTCAATTAGTGTGACTGTTTAAGGACTATATTTTTGCTTTTACCTAATTTGTATGCTCTCTTTCCAACAATTTGGATAGTGTACAACTAATGAATGTTTGCCTAAACTCAAAAGAGTCCAGGTGATGCGTTCTTGATTTATCAAGCACCAATATGTCTTTGGAGTACTCTTTGCTTTTAAGGTAGTATTTGCATTATTAGACAGCCAATTTACCATGAAACAGTAGAATTGCAAATTTTGTGAGGCAATTCACCATGTCGATTTGATGGTATAGAAATTGGCAACTACGTGACAAACCCACCTTCTTCCCACAAAAGAGAAACCATAAGAAAAGAAAGTTTATAAAGAATGGTATTTGGAGATCTGATAAGGGGTTAGAAACTGCTGAAACACAAGTGTGACCAAGATATTGCTCGTGTCTTTTAATTTTGATAAGGCAACTATTATAAACCATGAATCACACATATTTTTAGGTTAAAGGTAAAACTAATTTAGTCATACCTCAGAGCCTACTTCTTGCTGGATTTTACTGGGTTTGTTGTTAGTGTTGTAGTTTGTCTATGACTCTTTTTTGGCAATTGTTTGACATATTACGTTACAAATTGCCCTGTGTGATCAAACACAATGACACATAACTTCTTTTAGAGGAGTGTGGGTGTTGGAAAAGTGCGTTCTTTCTCTTTCCTTGAAGTTAAGATAGATACATACATATTAATTTAAAGAATAGTGGGATAGTAAGAATTTGTATTATACAAAATTGTCTCGCGCATTGGTGGCTAAATTGAGTTTGAGGGTTACAGCTTCTAAAAACTAAAATACCTTCTCTCTCAAAGAGGCTTGTTAACACTTTGGCTGCTATGTAATTTGCTTGGTTGATATTGCCGTAGAAACTGCGTCTCTTTATGTTCTTTTTCTTTTTTTTTGTGTCATCTATTCTTTTGTTGTAGGTTACATCACCATATGGAAACAACCTTCATCAGCATGAGAATGTGACACATGGTCAGTTTGCTTTCACAACCACAGAGGCTGGCAACTATCTAGCTTGTTTTTGGGTTGATGGACAAAACCCTAGTGGTGGGAGTTTAAGTGTAAACCTTGATTGGAAAACTGGAATTGCTGCGAAGGACTGGGAGTCAGTTGCAAGAAAGGAGAAAATAGAGGTGGCATCCTAACTTAATGCATTTACTTGTTTGTTCGCAGTTTTTTACTTTTGGGTCGTCCATTGCCAATGAAGCTAAAAGAGTCATTATTGACAGTGTTTTAGTTTCGGGCACATAATGGACTAAATTAAAAAGGATCTTGCTTCCTAGTTTCTATGAAGCTTTGGCCAATAAATGCAACAATGGGGCTAGGGTCTAACAGAAACAACCTCTCTATTTTTACCGGGGCAAGACTAATATGGGACATTGGGTTGTTGTTGTTGTTGTTGGTGGTGGTGGTGGTGGTGGTGTTAGTTTCTTACTTTTGGTTTTGGAGGTCCCGGTTGTTTGTCACACCATGCAAAATATGTGGACTAGATGGTATTTCTGGTTAAAATCAAAATATTGCATTATAACTAATCCTTTGGGGGTGTTTGGGTAAAATAAAACAATACTCCCTCAATCCTACTATTTTTTGTTTCTTTTTACCCTGCTTTTTGTAAAAATGAAGTATCATTAATGTCTACCCAATACACACACTTAACTACTTGGGCAAGAGAGACCCCAACCCCCAATACATAAACCCTAGAAGGAATCTAAAATCCTATTATTATCTTACTTTGTAAGGGCACATGTCTACCGCAACATCCTCCTGTTTTACTTTCAATCTCTACTCATGTGCCCTCTAATATCACTCAAGTTCTACTCATGCTCAGAGTTCAAACTCGTTTTTTCAATTTCTACGGTCGTATATAACGACATACATTTGTAAATTTCTTTAAAAAACATAAATTTTATTTTATGTTTTCTTTGCATTTTCTGAGGTAAAACCAAGCATGAGAAAATTACTTGGCATTCTCCAGTGGCTTGGGAAACTTTTTATGCTCCATAGTCCATAGCACCTTGAATGCCAACATATTGTGTATATTTTCTTTTTGACCATGGCTTGGGTGACTTCAGCATTGTCAAATTTAGGAAGCCGTCATATCTTGAGATTGGTTGCGTCAATTATGTTCGTATGTTCATTTTTCTTTAATGTCT